AAAAGTAATCATCATCCACCACCTTACACGCCCTTAGAAATTTGCAATATTTATTCAGAGACACCCTGTTAAAAGGGTTTTTAAAAATATCCAAAGTATCGAAATTGAAGCTCTTCAACGTGACAATTCTACTACAACTAGACGCATACATAAATTTTATTCTCAGTGTATTAAAAACTACGAGAAAACAAAGAAATAATAATTGCTTCCGTCTTTTACACGAAGTGCAAGTGCAGGAATGAAGTTTCAATCGACACATTCTAACACACATTGAAATAGGAAAGCATTATTTTACATTCCTGAACGGAGGTACTAATATACGATGTATAGGGAAAGTTATGTAATGCTGCGCGAAAAAACCAACCGAAAAGTCTGTCATTTGTAGCACAACTAGTTTTACTTCTTTCAACTAAACCATTGTCCAACGTATAACCGTTACACACCTTTTGAAAGCACACAGGTGTTACATATGATATGAAATAATTACTTTAAATTATTCTTACTACTTTCAAAAATCGTTCACGGGCAAATACAATTTTTTTGCAAAAAGTACATCTAAATATTGTAATATTCGATTTTCATGATAATTTATATTAGAGAGATTGCCAGGTAGTAAAGAAAGATGTGCGTTATATTGACATTCTACGAAGTGAAATTTGATGATCATATAATAGTAACAACATGCCCTCTGAAAACACTACGCAATTTCAATGGTATAGCGCAATGCAAAACAATACAAAGCAGGGCTGCAGTCTCCAAAGGAATTAAACGAATGACCCATTTCGTGTCAGCATGAGGCCTCGTCCCAGAAACATATGAATTTGACGGCTGCAAACATTAAACGAATTATGTATTCATCGCTAGTTGCAAGCTCTGATAAAACGGTTTCCTCATTAAAATGAAACGACTGCTGGTTTCCGCTGTCACTGTTGCACTCGACAAAACGACAAAAAGAAATGCAAACATGCCCTTAGGCAAAAATTTAAATGCTGTTCTTGACATATACATCCTGTTTCACATAGATATAAGTTTTCAATATCTGCAATAAAAAAAGTGATTCAAATCTGAATGCACTTACTGCGAATACAGTTAAAAATTCCTTTACAGTTGCTCAAAAACGAAACATGATACGGTTTTTCAACAAACTCGAGTATTTAATGGCATTTTATTTGGAATTAGAAGAATAATACATACAACCAAGAAATAATATATTTATAGCAGAATAGATTTCTCTGAAAATATGAAAAAAAATATTTCATATATGAAATATAATAAAATAAAATAAAATATAAAAAAAATATAATAAAATATGAAAAAATAAATTTCATTCGGTAATTCAAGACATATTCGATTTGAAATGGTATTTTACTCATTTTTCATACTTATATATTTCCTCTGATGAATGTTCTGCATCTTTAGTATTTTTTACTTTTTAATATATTTTTAAATATGTAGTTTTTATGAAAGTAGAATATGAATTAAATGCCATTTTTTGCAACTTATTTTCGTCCAATTAAATATGCCTTTCAAAAATCAAGAGATTTAAAATTAAAATTATTAGAGAAATATGATTTGAGTATAACAAGCAGTATTACGTTACTACCCAAAAATGGTATTTTCTTCTTCGCAAAATCCGTCACGTATGATATTATTGCATCATTGAAAATTCCAGAATTAAACAGCGTTGACGAAGAAAATATTTGGTAACGCACCGCGTGCTTCAGGCTGTGAAGTCCGTAAAAGGGAATTAAAAACGAAATTTCGCAGCACGTATCACCCGTCGGAAAGGACTCGCTAGGATTAGTATTATCCCCTTGCAACAACCCACTCGCTTAACTTCCGCGCATCAGGAAGAACGTTTATTTTCTTATCGTTAAGACCGCGTGGGGTCGCACTCATGACGGACATATAGGACACGTGGCAAACAGGGGACACTTTCAATTTCCTCTCCAGCCCCTCACTCCGTCGTTTCAATGGCGAGACCGGAATTCGGCGCGGCGAAATTGTGGTGTAAATTTTCGCGGCGTAAATTAACTTCCGGCGTGACCTACGCGCAAATTTCGCGTTAGCCAAGATTTATCTTCCTGAGGCCCGTTCGCCGAAAGAGAAAGTCGGGACGTGACAGTGACAAAGCGAGTAAATTGCGTAGTTTTCTCGACGGCAGCCTAGTACCAAACTGGGCGTCCATTTAAGACCTGCGCGACGAAGGGTACACTCGCAGCTGTCTCTAATGACTCTAGATTGATTACGAAGTGAGAAAATAGGTAGATTACAACGGGAAAGAAAGAGAAGTGCGTAAGAGAAGACGTGAACATGTGTTAAAATGTAAGCCTGTAACAGTGTAAGGAAATGCAGAAAGGGGTTACTAGGGATATAGCAATAACTTCTTACGGTAATGGCGACAGATTTAGTAAACTAGCATTCCCGAAATAACGTTGGAATTCTTCTTGAAATGTCATACGGGGAGAAACACCCCATTAATTCTAATGCAGCAACATCAGAACGAACAACACAATCAAAGAGTCACAAAGACCAAAATAAGAATAAATATCATATCTGCACTCACTTTGCAAATTTGTAACAATTTGAGGGTACAGAATGAGCATATTTCTCAATATTAATTTTACAAATTCTGCTCTTTCACACAACTAACAATAATATCAGGCAGTTTCGAATTAAACATTTCCTTCAAATTGTTGCCCTGCAGAAGCAAAAATGTTGCTAAACCAAACCATACAAAATGGTTTTCTAAATAGTAGCACCCATACTGCTCAAGAATAAATTAAATTCTGTCGTGTATCACTACAATAAATTAAATATTTGGACAAAACAAGTCTCTACCAAGATACTACCTTACAAATTGCCTTGATATGCATAGGCACATACGATGACTTTGTCAATCTCGCATACTACTCACATAGCGTAGAGGATGTATTACTTTCTCACCTTACGAATATGCAGTAAGAAGAGAACGTTTTGTAAACGTGCAACGGAAAACGGCGAAATTTCGCCAGAAAAACTCTTTTTGTAATACTGAAGGCAAAAGGCGATTTTTTGTGACAGGAAAACTCTATTAGTGGATCTCTGATACCGAAAAAAATGATATTTTTTGCTCTTATATGTAATAAATAAGTTTCTCTTAACACCTTGTATAGTCAGAATCGACAACATTGTCGGGTCCGTCCGCCCGATTCTCCGTCCTTCCGTGAAAAATGCTAGCGGGTAAACCATACCCAAGATTTTCATGGGAATTGATAGGGCTCATTTCCCGATAGATCAAGCTGATATCGTGGCTTCTTGAATTTGAAACACATTTTGATTCTTCAAACGAAACCACGATATTTTCAAAATTTTCTCATAAATCTCTCAAAATGTTTTTCTTATTTTATTCTCTCCAATAGACCACAGTACGTTTATAAAACAATGGCCCAGATCCAACTTTCCATGATACCTGCTGATAATTACAAAAGAACATTGCAATTATTAATTCGAATATTCTTTGACGTTAACTCATTCATGGAATGTCAAGAACTGCTCTGAGTTCTTTTTCTTATTTTTTTCGGATAAAATAGTGCGATAAAATAGGCATATAAAAAGAGTAGAGGCCCAAATTTTCGTTATACTCTTAATTTTCGAAAATCTCAAGTTATAAATAACGCGAGAAAGAACGTGCTGCTGGAGTACCAGTGATTGTATTGACTAGTACATTGTTCATTCCACACCTCTGCTTACTCCAACAACAAATGTTTACGCTCTTTGGCCTCTTCGTTAACCGTTTGATGCACTTGAATTCGTTGGATCTTCGTTGAATACTAATAACCCGAATACCGAATTCGAGGTAATTTCACCCTCGCAAAGCTATGCCGCGTCAATGCAAATGGGTGGGCGCGCCTCGAGATCTCTGCCTGTCCCCACGACGGCACTCGCGTTCCGGGGAGGCGGATGGGCGTGCGTCGAGGCGCGATCGGCGCGCGGCGGCGGCGGCGGCGGCGCACGCAGCCGGCACAAAGCGCTCCGCCGCCGCAAGCGCGCCGCCGCCACCCCCGCCGCCCCCGCCAAGCGCTAAAGCCCATCGCATTCACGCCGCGCCGCGCGTGACTGTGCGGCGACGGTACACAGCGCCCCCCCCCTCCGTCGTCTCTGCTGCCCCGAAGACGGCTGTCACGCTCAGACGCTGCCCCTTCCACCCTTTGACGCCGAGGACGTCTTTGGGAGGAGCGTCGAACTCCCGTGTTTCCGTCGTCGTCGACGTCGCTGGAGCCTCCGCCCACACCTGCATTCACCATTAGGCATAATAGGCTCGGAACATAAACACATCAAGATGCGCTCTCCTATTTACTTGGCTCTAGCAGGCAGAGGGTGTTTAAGAACGATTTTTCAATATTAGTCCATGCCACCTTACGTCTTTCGATAATCTCCTTGCAATGATTTGAAGAGCTCCTAATTGCTTACACAAAACAAGACCTTTCATACGCACGAACTGCAGTATTTTAAATACCTCGTCGCTCTGTACCTCCTGCCAGATTCCTTTACGTTGTAATATACGATATATCATGGAACAAATATCTCAAAATATTATATTTTGACATTTAAATTAAAATATTGAAATTTATTCTTCATTCAGTCAAGTCATAATCAGTCAAATCTTCATTCAGTCAAGTCAAGAAATAATCTTCATGATATTTCCATACGCATTGTAAAATTTATCTTTAATTGTCACCACTTTCGTCACCACAGCAACAGAGCATAAAAAAGGTGACCCAGGTTCAAATAGCGGTAGGGATGCAATTACCTGAATAAATTTAACTAATGTTAATTAAGAAATAACCAACCACAACAATAAAAATTAGTTATATTTATTCTTAACTCAAATTTTTCGATATTACCACTGAGATTTATATAATGCGTTTTGTTCATGTCTTCATGCATTCAGCCGTCCTGTCAACATGGACCACCACAGTCGGCACAGCCGGTTTGATTATTACCACCCTCTCGTGGTTTTATCTGCCACTGCCACTGCCACAGCCACTCCCACTCCTCCGTGCCACCCTCTCTACACTTGAAGCCTTCGCCTGGGTGAGCGCGCCCGTGAGGCGGTCCAGCCACGCTCCAGCGCCCGCTCCTCGAGGTGCGACCGAGGCGCTTTCAGCTCCTCTCCCGCCCCGCCCCCGGCGCCCAACCCCGTGACCCGCCCAGGGACCTGCCAACCACCCTCGCCGCCACGCCAATTGCATTACCCACGGGCCTCGACCTGGATAGGAACTATCCTCTGCCGCACCTCTCGCCATCCAAGTCCTCAACTACACAGAAACTCTACGATCTTTACCATGTCTGAGTGTCACAGGAGGAATTTCTTAACTTTTCATTGAAAACCCTATAAGCCTATCAATACAGAATATCTCAAGTAAAATCTGTTTCGATTGAAGTTCTCATAACTCCAATACCTTTCTAAATTCATGGATGCATTTTGAAACTTTGTAAACATTTTCTATAATTTAGATACTTCCTTTGAAACGTTTTACTAAACTTGATTCTTTTTCCAAATTAAATAACAGTATTTCAAGTAAAATATACAGTTAGTATCCCTCATGTACAATGCGCATTATTTTGAATACTTGCTTAATCCTTTGAATCGCTTCTATTTTCTTTTTCTTTGACAAGAATGTGGTAAAGACTGAAAACTACTTCTCAGGCTATGACTTTTCGCTTAATTTCACATTACATGATAAAACCCGCTAAATGAAAATCATTAATCAGCCTAAGAGCTCATCTATTGCAGTTTCCAGCTATTGATCTTGCGGAGAAGCCCTCTCACCTTACGTCACACCTCTCAACGCATTTCCGCGAATTTCGCCTTCCACGTCGCCCTCTGTTGTTTGACGCTGTTGCGGCTGTTCCGCCACTGCACCGCGTCAAAGCCTCCGACTAGCTCAACTCCCAGAAGCCAACTTCTCCCACGATGCTGGGGACTTCTCCGGCCTCGCGCCTCGTCACCTTCACTGGCAGCAACCGCAGGAAGAGTCTTTTATCACTTTCGTCACGTGTAATGCACTAGTGGTATTCAATGGATTCCCGCTTTATGTTCAAATAGTAGTTCACACTAGCCGGATATAAACAATGCGATCACCTTTGAAAATCCTTTATTAATAACGTCGTTCCTTTTTTGAGATGACAGTCACACGACGGTATATTTTAGATGCGCAATGTTACTTCAGTCTCACAATATGTTTATATAATAAGTATATGTAATTACACACATATTTATTGTGTATTAGAGACCAGTAGGCATAAATAATCTGCAAAATGTCTTTAATTTTCATATCTTAAATCGACAAAGTGAAGGGAAACTAATATGATGTCCTCGGTCGTGCGTACTGCACCATCGAATTCATGCGCTCCTAAGTCGCCAGATTTCATAAACGAACTTTCCATATAGTCGTATCGCTAATTCGCTGCACTCACGAACCCAACTACGACTGTACCCTCGGCTGCACGCGCGCCGCTATGTTCATTTGTCCCCTCCACCTCCGCGCGTCGCCCTTTCCCTTCCCCAACTGCCCAGCGAGTTCCTCCCTTCGCACGACCCCCCCCCTCGCTCTCCCCCCCCTCCCGGATTCATTACGCGTGACGCCGCCCCAATCTGGCGCCCGCGGAAGTTCGCACAACTCCCTCCTACCCCGTGCCGCCGCCGCTCCGGTGCACGCCCTGTGCAGAGGGCGGAGGGCGGGGGCGGTGCTCCTGACCTATCGCCCTTGACGGCGTCCCCCCCGCCTCGGCCCGCACTCTGACCTCGCCCCGCTGGAGTCCCGCGCACTCAGTGACCGGTCACGCTTTCCCAGACCCGTCGACCTCATGAGTTTCGGCGTCCGCTTTCTGAACTGTTGGCGAATGCGATAGAAAGAGAGTTTTATCGAGTCATTCAAACAATACTCCGTCTTCCAAAAATAAGTGTATGAGAGCACGCATATCTTTAGCGTGTCATGGCGAAATTTATATTGTACTTTGTACACGAAAAAATACGCGTAAATGTGTTTTGTTAGTTATATATAACTTCTGTCCCGAAAATAATGCGGCCATGTTTATTTTCAGAAATGTATTCATCGAAATGGATCCCTCCTGCTTCAACACACGTGTTCCAACAAGATTTCCATGCTTTATATGAGTCCAGGAAGACCTTCAGTGGGATGTCCTTTAGTAACCTCGTCGTAGCCGCCTTGCTGTTTTCCAGAGTCCCAATTGCTGTCCTTGAGGGAGTTTTTAACCATCGGGAAAAACAGTTGGGTGGGGGCCAAAACAAGACTTTAAGGCGGCTGGGAGAGCGTCCTCACAACACTGCAACAATTCTGGACGCACTTCCAATCGATTGTTCTTTTGGCAAACAATGAGCTCTCGGGACAAGTTGGGCACACACCTTCCGCATTTGTAAGTTTTCCGTCTCAATCTTGTACACATTGGTCTTAAGAATGTCAAGTATTTATGACATTCGGCGAATAATCATTCTTTGACCAGAGTTCAACAATTTGCACACTTTGTCAACCAAACTTTCATTTCGCGACAATGATGGGCGACCAGATCGTTGTTCGTCGGTGACTTACCCACGACCCTCATTGAACATTTTATGCCACCTTTTGCATAGTGAATATGACATGCAGTCCTCATCAAAGGCCTTCCTGCAGCAATCCGAAAGCCCCCGATGGAGTCCTCTCAGGTTTGAAACAACTTTATCTCATAACGCTGCTTGAGAGTTTTTTTCCATTTTAATTTAATTTCGATCGAGCACTCACACTGAAACAGGCACTGTGACGCTCTATGAGCTCGACCGTGGGGGCTGTCGCATTGTCTTGCTGGAATTGACTGAAGTACGTCGGGATGCACAATGGACAAGGTTCTTACGTACGTGTCACCTTTCAAAGTCGTATTTAGAAGTATCAGAGGTCCCATATCTCTCAAACTGCACACGCCCCATACCATCACAGAATCTCCACCAGCTTGAACAGTTCCCTGTTGACATGCAGGATACATGTATTCATGCGGTTGTCGCCACCCCGTTCACGTCCATCCGATCGAAACAATGTGAAACGGGACTCGTCAGGTCAGGTAACGTCAGTCATCAACAGGCAATAAAGCTTCGTGTCGTGCAGTCATCAAAGGATACAAGAGTGGGCCTTCGAATCCGAAACCCCCGTTTACATATATATAATCTCCGCAGCGATTTCAGGTAGGGTTGCACTTCTATCCGTGTAATGATTCTCCTCAGTCGTCGTCAGTCCCGTTCTCGCATGATCTTTTAGCGGCCGCAGCGATGCCGGAGTTTTGATGTACACGGTACACTTGTGAAATGATCTTATACGAAAATCCAAATTTCATCGCGACCTCGGGGATGCTATGCCACATCTCGCTTGCGCTGACTTCAACATCACGTTCAAACTCACTAAAACCATGATAACCTGCCATCGTAGCAGCAGTCACCGAACAAACAACAACATCATCATCTGGTTGTCTTACCATAGTCGTTGCCGATCGAAGCGCCGCATTATGATTGGTATCAGTTCTATTTATGTCAATATGCATGGTTGTACCAGTTTTTTGGCTCTTCAGTAATTCAATATATTAGTGGCCTGCGGTAGCAAAAATGCTACTGAAAACAATAGGTTTTCCTATATTAAGCACACTTATTTTTTTATTTATTTATTTACCTCAAAAACATTTAAAAACTTTGTGAGTGACTTAATTTGAGAAGTTAATTTGAAGTTACATTTATGTTCAGAAGCAAAACAAGGGGGCATCTCAGCATTTGCTCAAGGATCAATAACACTCAATAACACTAATGAAATGCTCTCGTATAACTGCAACAAATTAAAAACATCAACAAAAACAGTTTTCCCGAATACTGCAATAAGTACAATACAGCACAAGAGTGCTTTACATACCAAGAATATAAAAAAAAAAGTTGCAGTTCCACGTGAATAGCAAATGGTCAATGAAGGACGGGCTATTCTTTGGAACCTTGATGCCAGCCGTACTCTAAGCACTGACTCATTCAGTGTGAGAATTTAGTCGTGATCTGGGCTGTCCCGGTGAGGCTGTGTTGAAGGTTCAGGTGCCAACATATTGCGGTCGTCTTCAGAGCTGTAGTGCGCAAGTATGTTGGGTGCTCCGGTAGATAGAAGCCCTGAAGACCGCGATACGTTGGTCAAAACATCGGCACCTCAGCCTTCGAAAAATTACTTAGCTATTTTGTACAACGAATTACAAAAAAAAGTTACATTGAAAATTAACAAACGACTGAGATTGCAAAAATGAAAATGTATTGGATACTTTAATGTCGAGGAGTAAGTCCACACAGCGTGAACGATTCGACGCCTGGAGCAGGCGAACTCTTGCTGTTTTCTCTTCTCTTCCCCTTCTTCTGTCTCTTCCTTTTCCACCGCAGCGCAGCTCGAAGCTACGGCGAGGGTGAAGGTAGGTACGAGAGCGAGAGCGGTGGTGGTCGGGAGCGTGGGCGATCGTGGGGGTTGAGGGGGAGGTGGCGCTTGATGGCGGGGTCGAGAGCGACGGCGGAGGTGGGTGCAATGGGTGAGGGCGAGAGTGCAGGCGAGGGAGACCGAAAGAGAAGGGACGAGAGCGAGAGCGTCGGCGGACGATGGTAGGGGTGCAGGCGGACGTGAGGGTGAGGGCGGGCGTGAACGAGGGCGATGGTTGGAGCAAAAAAGGGCGGGACGAGGGCGAGGGAGAGGGAGAGGGTGAGGGTGAGAGCGAGAGCGCGAGCGAGGGCGAGGGCGAGGGCGGGGGGGGCGGGGGCGGGGGCGGGGGGGGGAGGCGGGGCGGGGCGAGGGCGAGGGCGAGGACGAGGGCGAGGGCGAGGGGCGAGGGCGAGGGGCGAGCGGCGGAGGGCGAGGGGAGGGCGAGGGACGAGGGCGAGGCCGAGGGCGAGGGGCGAAGCGCGTGGGTAAGGGCGCGGACGATAGCGAGAGGCGCCGAGGGCGGCGGGAGATAGCGGGGGTTTGAGGACGAAAGCAGGAAGGAGGGTGGAGTCGTGAGGCGGGGGCAAAGGACTAGGGGCGATGGTGTGGGTGTGGGGCTAGAGCGCGCGCCGCCGGGCGCGAAAGGTTGCCTAATGCGCGGGCGCGTTATGGGGGCGGGCGGCGACATAGCGGGCGGGGGCCACATGCATAATAGCACTAAGACCGCCAGGCAGGCGGAAGGCGAGGACGGCAGGTGCGGCGGCGGGTGGCGGAGGCGAAGAAAAAAAGGAAAAAAAAAGCAAAAAAGAGAAGGAGGGGAGGGGGAAGAAAAGGGA